TTTGTGCCCAAGGCACACCAAAGGACAAGTAAAAATCTCAAGGCACACCTATTGTGCGAAATAGCCCTTATAACACGTGTTATCACTCATATCATGTAAAATATCTGTAAATGTGCATAATTATTTACTAATGCCAAATAAAATGTGACAAAGACAACTATATTACTCATGAAATATTTATTAACGAAATATTTCAGAAATTAATTTGAAACTTTATCAAATTAGGCTTCATCAAAGCACAGGGATGAAACGTATACCAATATAATCTCAGGGCTCGACATTATAAATGGCCCGCTGGCCCGGAAGCATTATTTAGACACCGCGGCCAGCATAAGGTACTTTCAACTCGCCCCACAGCTGTTTGCTGCGGAGCGCAGCGCGAGCAGTCTCCCGTGAGCGGGAGCGCACTCCTTCACTACAGACTGTCTCTATCTCTCTCTCTCTCTCTCTCTCTCTCTCTCTCTCTCTCTCTCTCTCTCTCTCTCTCTCTCTCTCTCTCTCTCTCTCTCTCTCTCTCTCTCTCTCTCTCTATCTATAACTATCTATCAATATATCTATCCATCTATCTCTCTCTCTCTCAATCTATCTCTCAATCTATAAGGAACCGCAGTAGACAAAAGGCGTTGCTATAGCAACACGTCATGTTTATATGAAAAAGGGTGGGGTCAATATGACCCGCTGGGCGGAAATAGGTATAAATTGACAATTTTTAACAACATAGGGTGCTACATAACACACTTTCAGGAAAAGACACGGACTGGAAGACTTTAATATTTTATTGAAAAAAAGTTACACAGTTCTAGTGTTGTCCTTCAGCCTTCGATGTGTCACGGTCTTATAATTCCCACCTGCAACTGCGTTAACAGCGAAATATGGGGTTCTGTGAGGATTTTTTTTTAAATAATTATTTTTAGGTATAGAGTTTGCCTCTGTATTATTATGAAATGAGTGCATATAAAGTACTGATATAGTAAATAAAAAAATTATTATTTTTGTGTAGTTGTATATTGCAATAATAAGCATTGCCCTTCTCCTATTCAAACCAAAAGAGAAAATGCAGATATTACACTCTGAAAAGAAAGGGTAGACATATCTGTACTCTTAGTGCCAAGTAGCTAAGCTATTCATTTGCAGAAATGTAAAGTGATCTATCTAAGTTCTATTCATATTCTTGACGGGAAGAGTTAGTATACAATAGAGTTAGAGTTAGTATACTTTAAAAGCCTTCTCCAAATCAAACCAAGATATCTTGGGTATTCACTCAGAGGGGGGTCGGTGAACCGGGCAGAGTTTTTAAACATTTAAACATTTATAACTAGTTTAGGTTGTTTGAGAGGTACAGCTACCATTCTTTAATTAGATGTTTGATAAGTGCAGATCACATAGTAAAACACGTACACAGATACATTATTTTGTATTTTTATTAAATTCGACAATGTCAATTTCACTTTCCACTATGTCCACCGTTGTTTTTCACAACCAATGGCAGAACTTTATTGAGGCCTGTAATTAGTCAACTACAGGTCTCTTGGGTCAGTCTTTTTCTTCCAAAAAGCTTGTGACAAGATGTTATTGCTCTTGGGGCATTACAAACAAGATTTTAACTTTAGTTTTTTATATAATATCTGCATTTTCTATTGTGAAAAACTAAGTCTTAGTTATTTAATATATAGCGCCATCTCCTGGTTAAACCCTGAAATTGGAGAATAGTGGGAGGGCCTAACATTCCTGAATACTGGTCTTTGGCAGGTCTTAGGCAGGCAACTGGCTGGCAGTCGGCAGGAAGCTGTATGCTGGGGTCCATAATATTTAAAGCTCCCATGTCATGCTTTTCCGGTTATTACCCGTCCCCTTGTGTGTTATGAAGGTTTTTATGCATGTAAACGGTGTGCAGAGTCAAAACCCTCAAAGTACACCCTGTAGCGAGTAAAACTCTAACACAGAAAATACCTCCCCAAAACGCCTCGTTGGAGATACGTCACTGCCCATTTGAGTCTTCCATTTAGTTCCGGGTACCGCCTGATGTCATGCGGTACCCGGAACGAAATGGACCAATCCCGAAGAGCTATGGCCACACCAGCAGCGGCGTGTTCCTCCTCCAGAGGTTCGAAGAACCGGCATTTCACAGACGAAAGCTTCCAAAACATTGCCCAGTTTGAGGCCGGATATGCACAGCTTGTTTGGACCGTTTGGAGCAGGGGAAGATCTGGGTATACAACCTGTAAGTTTGCATTGTTATTTGTGTATTTATCAAACAAGACTGTTTAAATGTGTAAACTGTGTTGGACTGCTAAGCCATTGACACAGTGCTAACTGTGCTAACTAAGTTGCTAGAGTTTCCATATATCAACTCTAATATCAGCAGATGGCCTTGCATACATGTATCTCATAGCAGGAGAATGTCTGCAGTCACACACACGGAATACTCATACAGTATACTGTACTGTGATTTACCGTACATTGTGACCGTACATATACTGCATGTAGCTAACGAGGCTAGCTGTATGCTAGCGCAAAACAATGTATTCATGCAAGTTACATTGTATGGTAGCAGAATACCCGTATACGATTGCAATTATAAACACGTTATTGCTAGCCTAATATGAACCACTAGCTTTTGTTCATAGTAGTTTTATTACACTGCATTATAGTTGCCTTTCCTCCAAGCTAACGTTCATATCGTGTTAGCTACCAAGGTAAACAAAGCTAGGTTAGCATATTAGCAGGCAAGCTGTTCATTACACAACTACTACTAACGAATGTAAAACAACTAAGTTTCTCTAATATTTTGTGATTTGCATTTGATTTCGTCCAGCCAGATCCTGGCGGACAATCCATGACGTGCTAAAAGGCACTTCAACTACTACTGAGGCGTCGTGCTAAAAGGCACCGCACCGACTGTGCGCAGGCAAGATGCAAGGAGGAGGAATGGATGATATACCGTGTATATATGTATATTTATGTTCATTTTGTACATTTCTAAAAATAAAGTTGAATGGAAATACTTAGTAGGCCTATCCTTTCTTCCCTGAATTCATATATAGCAAACCATGATTTGATTTCTCATCAAACAGTAGTAGTTTATAACGGGTAAAAATAACTTACTCTTTGTTATGAGCGGCTCGTAGGCCACAAAGACAAGGAGACATACACGAGTTTACAAAACCACGGCACATTTATTGTGGTAAATGCAGATAGGTGGTTGAGAGGATCGCAGAGTTAGTCTTCCTGCAGCCGCTTTGGAGAGAGACTGGGGCCGTAGTGTCCGGAGGTGTCCGTGATCGTGCTGATTAGCCTCTTCAGCTCCACCCCATCGTAAGACAAAGGCCCTGGGGCCGTCACACTCTTCTATAACAACAGTTAAAAATATATATGTATATAAAATATACGGCTGTGCTGACGCCATGATAAGACTGATGTTACGCTGAGAGCAGCCGGGAAAAGCACTGTAATGGCGCATTTCCACTACACGGTCGGCCTCGGCCACACTCGGTACGGCTCGGTACGGCTTGGCCGCGTTGGGCCTTAACAGGGCCGACTCACTTCATGCTGCGCTTCCATTACAGTTTAGGAACTGGGGTAGTTACTATAGTAACGCAGTGTAGGCGGAGCCGTGACGTCATCTTCAATGAGAAATCCAGAAACACAACACAGCCGTTAGCTGTGAGCACTCAGAGCTCACAGCTCCTTATATATGTTCAGAAACTCGACAAAAGTTAAACAAGTACACACCACAGACTGCCTGTGTCATGGTGAATACAGTCGCTGCTTTATTTATGTCTGTATAGGCCGTTGTTGTGAGTGTGGACGGTCGGGGCATATACTGCGTTAGCTTAGCCAATCTCCATCTAGAAAAACACGAATTTTAAAAGGTTTTTCGCCTGCCGTCTGTCTGCAGACTTGACAAAGCATTAATTCATGGTTTTTACTAACCGGTATCAGTATGTTGTTACTTCGGCATCATTTTGAAACGTGTATTACAATTAAATCACGGTCAAATATGTCCATCTTGTTGTAGTTCTAGCCCTCTTGCCAGCGCTCCTCTCTCTAGTTTAGCATACTCAGCCCGACTCAGCCCTGTTTGTTGGCCCCGATAGAACCACAATTTTCTAGGGCCAGAAAAGAGGGGAAAAAGTGGCCCCGCGCCGTGCCGCGCCGGAACGAGGCCTAGTGGAAGCACAACCAAAAAAGGGGACGGCACGACACGGCACGCTTAAAGCGAGCTACGCGCTGCAATGGAAATGCGCCATTAGACATGGGCGCAGCCTCTCTGGTGGTTGACTAATCAGAACGAGTGGCCGAGCTGACCAATCGGAGCACACTAGGCTCACAGGGAGGGGGGGGGCAAGAGCTCCAACGAGTCGTTTAGTGGAGAAAGTGAATACTGCTGAATACACATGCTTGACAGAGATGCTGTATGCGAAACCAATGTGAGTTTGGAAAATTGCACAGTATAAATCTATTTTAGTATACCTCAACAATGTAATTATGATCAGTGGAAATGGCCATGACATGGGCCCTTTAAGAGACAGATCCATATTTTATGCTAAATGAGTCGTTTTGATTTAATTCCAACTGAAATACTTACAGGATAAAGGACCGACTTTAAGACTTCTTCACATGAACTCTTTGATGTTTTAACCCCCCCACTGAGACATCTTTCAAAAGCCATAAGGGTCCATGGGTTCCCTGACTTGATCAAGTTCATGACTCAGCTTCTCTTCAAGTCCTATGGACACAGCCGTCTTAATGTCAGCCTGAAACCATACACAACACATTCATTAGTTAAAGCAATACAACCATCATTCAATATGGGGCTTTGTGTTTCAAGCAAAAAGTACAAAAGCTTTGAGTAAACTGTAGCAATGCATCCTCTCTGAAGCAACACACACTCAGCTCATCCAATACCTTGTTGGCTCCACGGGTAACATCACTTTACCATTTGTACACAACATGTTAGTGTATGCAGCTTACTTCTTTTCGATGAATGTTATTATTTCTGTCAATATGAAAGACAGTGAAAGATGTTGTTACTTGATGTTCCTCTCTCTCTGCTGCTGGCTGCCTGAATCAGAGAGAGAACCCCCAGAGCTCCAGACACATAGTTCCATGTCTGCCAGTCGTTGAGATCTTGCAGGAATTCCTGTAAAAAATGTATCATACTTAATTACATTCTTGACTTTACATGTTATACTCAATTAGTATCTCTACATATTTATTAGAAGAGATCAAAGCATTTTCATTTAGTCATTCCTGGCTCACTGATGGAGAATTGAATCACATGTGTCATCTGGATCCAGACGTTTCTTTTTCATCAACTCTTTGGAGCTCACTGTGAAAACTTTGAAACATTCCTCACTGAATTGTTTCAACAACAAAAGAGTTTCAATATCAAAGCAGGTTTGCAGTTTGGGACAATATTTGTGTTTTTGTATTCAATATAACTCACCTTAACGTCTTTTAGTTTGCTGAATTCTGCCTTCACGTCTATCTTGGCTTGCTCGTTTTGTTTTAGTATCAGAGCACGAACATCAGCTGCTGACCTATAGGAAAAGATTTGTATTTGAAGAATGACATGAACTGCATATATATTCCAGGATATGATATCACTACGCATCTCCATCTTGCTTTCAATGACCAATGATCACATAGCTTCATCCAGCATCACTAAGTGTTTGTGAAGCAACAACATTAGGACAGAAATAAATGGCTGAGATGTTGAGGAATCAATGCAGGCATTTTAGAAACACGGATACTGTTATGATCATGGATACCCTGGTTGATCCTGTTTCAAGTGAACATTATATCCCTGAATACCATCCAAACCAGGATACTAATGTGCCTGTAAACGTAATCAATGTTTCCATGGTTTCTCCTCTTGGCCATCAGTGTCTAAATTGGATGGTACATTTAACTGTGTACTTTTGCATCTTAAACCACTTACTGATCATCTGAACCTCCAAGACTATCAGACTTGGTGCAGATCAAATGAATCTGCTGACACTCTCGACCATTTCCCATGAGGCTGCAGGATTCTTCCAGGATCTCCCAGGATTCTTTTTCAGAAGCTGCTCGATTGATCTCAGCCACAATCCACACAGTAGAACAACTTCCAACAACCTGGAGGGGAATACAGAAAATAATAACGGTTACGTTGTCAGTGTTCCACAATAATCAGCATTGCGTGTGGATAAATCACCTTTTTCCACATTGTGTCTCTGGTCTTGTTACTTGTTCCAGGAAGATCCACAAGTGTGACGTGCTGGAGAAGACCCTTCTTTGGCCCCCTGACAGTCACACACTTCACCAGTGGCCAAAAGCACTTCTTCACGTCTTTAGCATCTACCTCTTTTGACTCACTTCCAGTGTATTTGACACATTTTGCAGATAAGTCTTCAGCCTAAAATAAATAATAAAACAAGAAGCAATGCAAGGCCATTTCTTTAGATAGATAGATCTCCGTCCTCCGTGTTTCAGAGTCATTATTCATTTGTTTTAAAGCTCAATAAATAACAAAGAAGACCTTTGACCGGCACTTTTCTAATTTTGTCCGGAAGATTTAAACTTTAACGGACATCTTGACCGGCAATAGAAACTGAAACTGAAACTCTGCCGCACGGTCCCCTCGTTCCTTGGAAGAGGCGGAGAGGTGGGTGTTTGTCATCTGCTGGTGGACTAACCGGAGAGAATTACAGTGCTTGCCTCGACGGGGAGGGATTGCATTGAATTAAAGCAGCGGGAGCAAACGCTTGCCTCGGGGAGGGAGAAAAAAAGCCACAGCGGAGAATAAACAGAAGGGTAACCATGGTAACTATGGGCGGGAAGTCTTCTTCGCTTCTTTTGTGGCAGACTACAGCGCCACTTACAGGCCTGGCATATGTACTACAGCGTCTCCAGCGCTTTCGAGCGGCAATGGCCGGCCGTGGCCCAACCCCACATTCCTCTGATAGGTGGAGAGTTGGCCCAATAGCCGTAGCGCCACCGTCCTGACGTCAGGACAATGTTCAAATCTGGATCCGTTTTTATCAGATCCGTTGCAGCCCCTTTTTTAGAGATTTGGGGTTGGAGGAAAATAGAGAGGGTTGTGTTTTCTGACACTTGGTGAGTTCCCTGGAACACCGGGGACACATATTCATGTATAAAAGACGTACAAAAGTGCATTTTGCATGATAGGTCCCCTTTAAGTACTTGATCTGAGTACTTCTCCCACTCTAAACGTAATTGGGGCAACAGAGCTCTGATTTAAGGAAGTTGAAAACGGTGCATTTCTCCGCATGAATATGATGCCTTTTGGCCAGCTGATGGACAGATCGCTTGTGTTTCCGCGCACCCCCCCCCCCCCAGGTTGAGAACCACTGCTCTAAAACATCATGAGGATGTTGTTCAGCCTGAATGCTGGCCGGGAAAGCCATCAGGGTGAAATGGGTTGGGGAGGACCCCCCCCCCCTCTCCATGTGGAAGACACTGAGGTATTGAATCTGGAGATAATGAAACTCTGTCTGGATGGAAGGTCGAATGTTTCCCTACAGAAGTGCTTTATTGAGCAGCAGAAAAGCACATGTTGCTGGCTTGAAGTCCGGGAAGAGAAGGGAAGAAGAGAAAAGAGGGCACACAGTAGGTATACAGTAGGTACAGTCAACATATGTGTCCGTGCGGAAACAATACCCCCAACCCGTAGTTCCATGAGTGAATTATGTAACATGAGTAAATTAGTGATCACGACACAGTCGACAATAACAGTTAGAAGATTTAATCATTGAACTTAACCATTGCTTACTGAGACTTCAGAGGAGGAGAATAGATGTGCAGTTATGCTGGGTGCCTGCACAAGAGGGGGTTCAAGGGAATGAGCATGCTGATAAGTTAGCAAAAGAGGCATTACAGAAGGAAATAGCAATACCAGTTTCACTTGGAAAAGGAGAAGGAATGATGATGATGAGGATGATATGGTGATACACACTCTTGTACAGTAGGTGGCGGTATGCACCTTAAAGTTGTTTGCAATCCGCCAAAAACCGAGAGAAGAAGAAGAAGAAGAACCTGGATCCATTTGGCGTCTCGTCGCTACGGTTCTCTCTCTCTGTGTTCCTGAGAAAGTGTGTGTGAGCTCCAGCACTACTGATCCATCATCTGTGTGTCTGGATAAACATCTGAATGGACTCTGTGCTCTTTTTTCTGGAGCGTTTACCTCGGACTATAGGAGCTAGCTTAGCATGCTAGCTGGAAACACGTTAGCAACAGTAGTCAGATTGAGAGTTTGATGGAGAGAGAAACGGTGTGTTTAACGGAGTCTGCAGGGAAAGGTGATCTAGGAAACATGAGTAAAGTCCAAATGCTGCTGTCGTTTGAACAAACAATAGCAGAGCTCGAGGAGGAGCTGTCTCTTTCCAACGAGGAGAACAAGAGACTCCAGACACTACTGGACGCTGTTTTACAGCCTCAGCTTCGGATACACAGAGCAGGTATGTTCCCTTTACTCTCCATTAACACTTTAAACTCTTCAGTAACACTTTATTATCACATTAATAACACTTTAGACACTTTATCAGCACGTGCTGCAGGTCGTACATCCTGAAGTAAAAGTACAAACACCACACTGTGAAAATACTCCATTACAAGTTAAAGTACTGCATTCATATCTTAATTAAGTAAAAGTATGTAAGTATTATTACACAGATGTACCTTATTATAATTATTACGGAAGAGCAAACCTACCAAAATAAATATATTTTTAAAAATACATACATTGAATAATATGCCATTTAATTTACTGAATGTAAAATCTCAATCAATTATTGCCAACATGTATTTATAATATATTCTGTGTATATATATATATATTAGGGCTGTCAGTCGATTAAAATATTTAATCGCATGATTGTCCATAGTTAATCGCAAATTAATCGCACATTTTGTATCTGTTCTAAATGTACCTTTAGAGGGATATTTTTCAAGTTTTGAATACTCTTATCAACATATGAGTGGACAAATATGCTTTATATGTTTGTTTATTATCATTTGAACAATGACAAATATTCTCATGAATATTAAACACAACAACCTCTGAACATTACAAATATTCGCCTCAATTCAACCTGGAACCTCTCTCATACAATAATACTGTGTGTGTGTGTGTGTGTGTGTGTGTGTGTGTGTGTGTGTGTGTGTGTGTGTGTGTGTGTGTGTGTGTGTGTGTGTGTGTGTGTGTGTGTGTGTGTGTGTGTGTGTGTGTGTGTGTGTGTGTGTGTGTGTGTGTGTGTGTGTGTGTGTGTGTGTGTGTGTGTGTGTGTGTGTGTGTGTGTGTGTGTGTGTGTGTGTGTGTGTGTGTGTGTGTGTGTGTGTGTGTGTGTGTGGTGTGTGTGTGTGTGTAAATGAACTATAGTATACTATAAGAGTTGTATAGTATCCGATATATATATATATATAGTAAGTTTGTAGTGTTCTATAGTATTTTTTACCAGCTATCGTATTACTATAGTTTTTTCTGTAGTGCCATTTTACTAGCTATAGTAGCCCTATAATATTTCAATAGTAATACTATGTATCTAGATCTTTGTAGTATTCCTATATTATTTTAAATAGTATAACTATAGTATAATATTTAGTGTTTCTGTACTGTAGTTGTTTTTTGAACACACTATAGACCACTCCTATAGTAATAGCATGATATTGTCATAGTGAATGCATATTATTATATAGTGTTTGTAAAAGTATTACTATAGTGTTTTTTTGGTGTTTCCGTATTAAGACTATATTATTTTAAATAGTACTACTTGTGGGGGAAACTTCTGTGTAGCAATGCATGGAGTCACCGACTCAGGAAGGAGACACGGTGAGAGTTGGAGCTTTGATGTCAAACACTGATGGGTTTATTTCAGAGTATCGGCCGGAGGATTCACATCACAAGTCAATGAGTCAGAGGTTCTGACTTCACGGGAGAGTTGCCACGTCAATTCTGAAGAGCCTCTCTCTATGCTAGACCTTTTAACTGGTTCACAGAGAGTAATCAACATCTCTGAAGGAGTAGACTAAACAGCTGGGAACACTGAACCACCTGCGTCCGACACTCATGGCCTCAAAGATTTCACATCTTAGAGTCCACAAACACCGATAAAGAAGTGCCTCAGTGTTCTCACAACAATTACCATTCGTGCCAGACAAGTTGACCGGTCACAAACTGGTGACAACAACACATATGGCACCAAGGCCTTTCCTTAAAGGAGATAACAGACGTCAGAGTAGATCATAAAACGTCACCGAGCAAAAGGTTAGATATCTAGAAGAATTATTCCATAACACTACTATAGTATAATATTTAGTGTTTCTGTAGTTGTTTTTTGAACACACTATAGAACACTCCTATAGTAATAGTATGATATTGTCATAATGAATGCATATTATTACTATAGTGTTTGTAAAAGTATTACACTCCTAGAATTAATGTGTCATTTTTTTAACACACTGCTGTGTCAAAGGCAATTCAACACATTCAGTGTAATTTCTGAACTATTTTACACACACATGTGTGTACATATAAAAAAAAAATGCACATAGTCAACACATTAGTGTATCCACTGTCCTGCCCAATCACGGTTGAGTTATTTCAAATGTATCATTTTTCAACTGTCCGACCAACTGTCCATCAAATGTCCCAACTGCCATTTCACCTCTGGCTGCTGTGGAGGATGGATGTCAGCGGAGGAGAGTCTAACTCTAGGTAAGTTATACAGAAACAAAACGTTTTTAACAAAGTGAGCAGATATATTGTCATAATGTGAGCAAGCTAGGGGTCTAAATAAATATTTTTTAACTTAAATAAATATGTTTTGCCAATGTTGAACAGCTAACTATTGTTTGAGTTTAGCTGCCTGGATGACAATTATTTTCCTTTAGGCCGTTCTTCTTTTTTATTATATTTATTTTATCTTAACTTAATGTAGCTTACACTCTTTTCTGTGACCATCATTCTTCAATTGGCATTATATTGGCATTGGCATTATATATATTATTTATAACCTAATGTCATAACAATAGCATTAGCAGCTATATGTTTAATGCTATCTAGCTAATTTGGCTAGGTTTCATTGTTCGGCCAGATGTGGCGAGAAAGTGCGAGTGAGAAGACCGACAGAGGCTGCGTTGATATACAGTCTCTTACAGTGCAAATAAGTAACTCGCACTAAAGTTATTTATTAGTAGTAAGTGTACACTACAGTTTACCTGTTTCTGACTAAAAACATCAGCCACTACTCTATACTTGCAAATATTATATTATGTAGAAGGGAAATTTCATATCTTCCTCTTGTCGCTACGGCAACTTGTGTATGTGAGACGCAGCGTCACGCATGGCACGTCAGGCACGATTTGATTGGTCGGAAGGAAAGCCCGCCTTCCGACCAATCAAATAATCGGAAGGGAAGGCCGGCGGGCTTTCCTTGACATGTCCCTGACACAGCGGACTGCGGGTGTAGAGTGAGTGTAGCGTGCAATACTGTGTTTCACCACACATTAATTAAGAGGGGCGCTGTTTCAGTCTTTGTAAAATACTCACTGACAACAGCGGAGAGATGTTTTTTAATACAAATAAAAAATATAAAGAAATACCCAGCCTCCAGGAGAAAACGCCACTGGAGGCTGAGCAGAATCTCCCCTGTGCTTCTCTAGAAGTTGTCTTTATGGGTGAAGTTAATTAACTTAAAATTACCATACTGCTTATAACTTATATAAGGTGTGTATTAATGGGTTTAACTAGAAGATGATAGATGATGGCATTTAATTTAATCTGGCATAATATGATCAGTCAACATCAGGATGAATTTGTCTTTTTCTTATAATTACAGGAAGCGGGAATGAGCAGCAGGAATTTGTTAAAGTCCTAGCAATTTCATTTAAGAATGGAAAGGAAATTAAAAGAAAAATCTACAGTGTCCAAAGCACAAACCATCTCCTGGAAGGTGAATTTGGATTTGTCCTTGATAGGATTTTAAAATACAACACAGACTTCCAAGAGTTTATAGATATTGATAGAAGTGAGAACATCAGTAACTTTGACAGATTCCAAGTGTACTTTTCTGAAGCACCGGATCTTCAGCCTGTCCTAAGAGAAGTCTGTCAAACTCAGGTATACATTTACCATGCTTGTTAAATTGTGTTTCAAAAAATCACACAGGCCAGAACTTTACTTTGTGCTGTGCTTGCTCTTATTGTTTTGTTCAGCCTACACAAGAACCAGTTCTTCTGAATGGCCTAACTGATCTACTTAAGAAGAAAATTCCAGAAGTATTTCATGAACTGCAAACTAATGGCATTCTTACCGAGAAGACCAGGCTCAAACTTGTCAAAGTTTGCATCTCTGACTTGGTATACATGGGTTGTAAGTATATGAATGTGAAATGTGTTTATATATATATATATATATATATATATATATATAGGGGTTGGGACACTTTTTCCCTTAATTTCATTGCCCAACCATTTCTGTTTCGGGCCTGAAATTGTTCTTGTCAATTTTTTACATTTAAGTTATTCATATTCATATTCTGTGAACAATGTATTTTATTTTGTTAATAAAGTCCCTATCTTTCAAATTGAAACTGCTCTGCTTGCTAACTTTTATTTGTTGATACCATACTTACTATAGGGATGACTACATCATTATTAAAGCAACGCAAAGCTAATTTGCGTTGTTGGTTCTACTTTGTAGATTTATACTGAAGACGTCAAAACTATAAAAGAACACATGGAATTATCTAGTAAACAAAAAAGTGTTAAAAAATCCAGAATATGATTTATATTTTGCTGGCTACTGCAGAATGCTGTGGTAGCCATGCTGGTTAAGGGTGCCTTGAATTCTGAATAAATCACCAACAGTGACACCAGCAAAGCCCCCCCCCCCCCACCATCTCACCTCCTCCTCCATGCTTCACAGTGGGAACCACTCATGCAGAAACCATCCGCTCACCTTCTCTGCGTCTCACAAAGACACAGAGGTTGGAACCAAAAATCTCTAATTTGGACTCATCAGACCAAAGTAATAATAAATTAATACATTTAATTTATATAGCGCTTCTCATCTGCCAAGACAAATCTCGAAGCAAATTCGAAGTACAGATTTCCACTGGTCTAATGTCCAGTCCTTGTGTTTCTTGGCCCACACAACTCTCTTCTTGTTGTTGTTCATCCTCAGCAGGGTAGGATTTTCACCGACGGCCATGCCGTCATTGCCCCTCGGTCTGGCCGTGAAGCCCCGAAAATAATTGTACGTCCTACGGCCACCATGGCCTGTGTGCCCCTGATACTGTTAACATTTCGAAGTTACTTTAAAAGCGTCAGAACAGTGGTTTCTGAACTGCATTATGCTGCGTTCACAACGGACGCGATGCGAATATTCTCATCGCTCTAACCGCTGGAGTTTCACCGCGGCTGTCAGCTGTGTTTACTCCTGTCATTCAAACAGGACGCGCTGGAGAGGGGGCGGGGCTGATATCCATGTAAATACTGTGGTGGAAACCAACTACGACAAAATTAACCTATTTGACCGTGATTTAAATGTAATACACGTTTCAAAATGATGCCGAAGTAACTACATACTGACAACGGTTAGTAAAAACCATGCTTTGACAAGTGTGCAGACAAGACGGCAGGCGAAAAACTTTTAAATGCGTGTTCTCTGAATGGAGCGATCTCCATTCGATCAGATCAGAAACTAACATGTATCTGCTCCGTCCAAACTCACAACAACGTCCTAAAGACAGAATTAAAGCAGCGACTGTATTCACCATGACACAGACAGTCTGTGGTTTGTACAGTTTAACTTCTGTCTAGTTTCTGAACAGATATGAGGAGCAGTGAGGAGTTGATTAAAGACACACACACACACACACACACACACACACACACACACACACACACACACACACACACACACACACACACTTTTGCATTTCAAAGTATTGCTTGTTCATATAGTTGAATGTTTGAGCTTCACTGTGCCCTGCTGAATGATGTATGTGCAGAGTTGGACCCTTGAAGGCTGTTTCTTCTGCTCTGAAATGGAATATATTTGTTAGATATTAATAGAATGTTAGATTTTTTGATTTGATTTTGGATTTGTGAATGGGAGAAGTAGTAGATGGAAAAAATACCAAACACTAATTATTCATTTCATTTTATATACGGTAATACTAAGGAGGCATAGGCCTATATGATGATATAATGTTTGACGTTATTGATATTAAAAAGTGATTTGTTTTCCATGTCATTCATGTGTTATTTATTTGTAAGCTCCAAAATCCAAATGTTTCCCTCAATGGCCTTTGTGCCCTGAAAAAATGTGTGACACCAAAGGCCAAATGGCCTTGCCCCTAAAATGACGAAAATCCAAGCCTGATCCTCAGTAGTGGATCTTTGCAGCAAGTGGACCATGAAGGCCTGATTCACGCAGTCTCCTCTGAACAGTGGATGTTAAGATTGTCTGCTCCTTGAGCTCTGTGATCATCTATGTGAGCTCTAATCTGAGGTGCTTTAATTTGCGGTTTCTGAGGCTGGTAACTCTGATGTATTTATACTCTGAGCAGAGGTAACTCTTGCTCTTCCTTTCCCGGGGGGGTCCTCATGAGAGCCAGTCTCATCATAAGAGGCGTTCACACCAAGTACTTTTCCCACAGTAGTTCATGAGAACTTTAGTTCATGAGAGCTCTTTTAGTTCTGATGAACTAAAGCAGATCGCGTTCACACCAAAATGAGTTCCTGGGGGTGGATTAGGCAAATGAGCCGCTGACGTCACTTCTTCTTCTTCTGCTTTGGGTTTACTGGCAGGCCGCAAACAACTTCACGGCGAGTACAGTAGGTGGCGGTATGCACCGTAAAGTTGCAATTCGCCAAAAAACCGAGAGAAGAAGAAGAAAAAAAACGTCCTCTTCCGCTGTATGCTTCTGTTTACCTTCCGACCTCAGACACGGTATGGAGTTGGAGTTTTGTTGGTCGTGTTATACAGCTTCGTAACTGAGTTATTTAAGCCAATAACTCAGCCACAAATACAAATACAGATCGACCATTCAAATGCAATAGAAATGCTGAGTCGGAGGCGAAGGCGGTTAAGAAGCCTTAACAAAAGGATTGGACCACGAAAAGCACACGCTATGGACATGTTTCGCCGTAGGACAGCTGAGCATGATGACCGTTATCACGCCCAAAGAACAGCAATGGTACGTTCATTAAATCACATTAATACTATCTAATGTAGGATTTATGGAGTTATGTAGGGCTAATTTGTGTCTTTGTATGTGTTTCAGATATGCGAATACTACGGAACGCGTCGTGTCCCGTGCTCTCTCTGGGTGAACAATAGAACATCGGCCTGGTGGGAGAAGGTGGTGCCAACGTACACCAATGTGCAGTGGATCAAAGATTTCCGAATGTCCAAGGGCTCTTTTCAACTCCTCTGTATTCGCCTGGCAGCAACGTTGGGGAGACGCAACCTAAAAAAATCGCCGCGGGGCAAGACACGCGCACAGCCCTTGAGGCATCTGAACAGCATGGAAATTGTAAATTGACAATAAAGCTGATCTTTTGTACAGTGCATTTGGTTCTCTCTTTTATTTACCACAGTCAACAGACACAATTACAATAGTGTAGACACACCTTAGTGCAAAGATTAAATGTCAGTACAGTATCAAAACAGTACTCATACTGTATATTTGTATATTAATATGAGTATATTATTATGTTAAATGTGTGTTAAAGACAATGGGATGAGGTTGAAAGCTCTTGAAAGCTTTTGTATACCATCTTTACTGTGATAAATACATACATGTTAAGCATACACACCTGAAGAACTACGTTACACACACACAGGTTAGTCTGTGTACCGCTGCACTGCTGCTGGTTTAAACAAAGACAGTCATGATGCTAGTGCCGTGCATGGAGGTTCTCTTTTATTTATCAGCAGCAGATCAATAAGTGTCAGTAGTATCAAAACAATATAATAACAGTGGCAATATATATATATATATATATATATATATATATATATATATATATATATATATATATATATAATATCAATAGGTAGGCTCAGCAGCAGACACACCTTAGTGCAAAGTTAGGTGTCAGTATTAATAACAGTGGCATATATATATATATAATCACAATAATACAAAATTAACTGTCACAGGTGTAGGCAATTTGGGGTGAAGGGTCTTGCCCAGGGACACAACGACATCCTGACTGCAGTGGGGTTTGAACCTGTGCTCCCCTGATCCGAACACCAACGCACCAGACCACTGCACCACACGCCTCCCAACAAGTCATTGTACAGTTTATCAACGACGACAAGTTTTTCTTAATTTTTGTATTGAAGGCCTGTTGGATTTAATCAGCTCGCTTAGCACTGCCAGAAGCCCAGCCTGAAAGGTATTTTGTTGCTCCACCTGGCACCATGAGCAGCTAGTCGTCCGATTCTTGGGCCTTGTGTGAAGGCAGCAGCCGTTCGTCGTGCATCTCCTTGGCACGCAGGTCCTCATTCTCCTTGCTGACCATGGCACGGCGGTCCATCGCCATGATGGTGACAAGGAAGCTGTCATCGCGTGCCCACTTTCCTAAGGTGAAATATGCAATATACAAGATCAGTTTAATCGCAACAACGAGACAACATTGGACATGGTGCAGGCAGGGACAGTGTACAAAATGTATTGTTTTGTGCTTAATGTATGCTTGAACTTTGTTTTATAGGGATTAGTGGACATCGGTTAGATGTGTAACCTTCTTTCAAGGCCAGAGTAGTTACAGTGTAAGTGGATTGACATCTAACATAACATGGCCTTGTACAATTATAACAATCAATAAAAAAAAGGAAAAATAAATAGAATTGCAATTACATTTCTACTTAAATGTGCAAAAATATTAGAACATCAGTCTTTGTGGCATGCAGGTAATCAACTGTTTAAGCTTTTACCATTAACATGTAGAATGAATGTTGCAAATGACTTGACATTATAGCAACTACAATGTATTGTTAGAGGTAGCATTATGTCCAGCTAGCATGCTAATTGCTAACGTTATATTATCGTTTTATCCCGGAGGGGAAAACTAGTTTCTAATCCTTAGAGAAACACCTCGCCGGAAACACACGATTAGTGCCATGAGTTAGTGAAGCAAATTACAGAACATTGCACACTTATTCACAAGTCAAAACGTGTTCATAGCGGGCACGGCTGAGAATAGCTAGCTAGCTAGATGTTGTTAGCCAGCTTGGACCTATTATAGCTAGTTCTAGCATGGCTAGCTCGATCTACTGAGCAAATAGAAGTACATCTAAGACCAGTATTGTGCAGATTAAAACAGTGCAGTGCATGTATTTTATTTTACCTTCGTAGTCGTCCCGACATGACTTTGCCAGGTCTGCTAACTTTGCTGAGCCACGGAAACTGCATTCAGTAGAAGCTTCTGAATGCGGCGCTTCGCGTCCTCCGAGTAAATCGCCAGAAGCGCCGAAACATCCTCATCACTCCACCGCTCCGATGATTTATTTAGTGTTGCTATAATAACTGCTTTCACAAAAGTAATCTCTTCAGGTGCGCTGCCCGAAGCGAGCAAATACAATGGCCGCTTACAAAAAAAAATTCAGAGTCAAACGGGCGTGGTTTGCATTCCGCACAGCCAATCAGACGTACGAACTATTTTCTCCCACGACAGTCTCTGCTCTCTAGCAGGGACTGAAAAGCGGGTCAGACGAACTAATTTGAACTACTTTAGTTCCTGGGGCTTTTTGGTGTGAACGCAAATATATCGTAGTTCTGATGAACTATTGTGGGAAAAGTACTCCAAAGTACTCCGGTGTGAACGCGCCTATAGCATTCGATGTTTTTGCGACTGCACTTGAGGATACATTCAAAGTTCTTGATATTTTCCAGATCGACTGGCCTTCATTTCTTAAAGTGATGATGGACGGTCGCTTCTCTTTACTGGGTTGAGTGGTTCTTGCTATAATATGGATTACAACAGCAGTCAAATAGGGCTTTCCACTGTGCACTAACTCTACCTCTGCTCAACACAACTGATGGTCTCAAACACATTAAGAAGGCAAGTCATTCCACACCAGAGGTCGCGTTAACCGAATATTTTCCGTCTATGACGTAATTTTTCCAAGAATGACGGAAAACTCTGAAAGCAGTCCGTCATTTTGACAGATTAGAACACAACTCGGAACAGCGC